TTTTTAATACCAAAATAACTTATATTAAAAAAGGGGATCCTATTAATGTTTTGATTTATTTTTGTATAGTTTATAATAACAAAAATACGTGATATCATATATTACTGTAATTATAATGACATCGCATTTGCTAATTATTAGAATATCAAGAAAAATAATGAAGTAATGCTATTAATATTTATGTATTCATTAAAAAATATTACTATCAGTTGGGTCGTTCATTTGTTCAATCTCCTGGATAGACAACCTGCAAATCACGTGGTCTTTGAAACCGCATGCACTTCTCCTTCCCACAAGCTCATGAGCCTGAAGTAAAAAGAAGGTGGCCAAATTGTTGGCTTCCTGAAGAATTAAAATATTTACTAAAAACATGAACAAGTACGTTATAGTATCATTAAAAAATATACAACGCGGCTATTAAAAAATTAACGTAAAATAATTGATAGCGTGGAGGATACACCTGGTTCAATCACATGCCCAACATTCTAATATACCAGTTCTTAACAAACTGTCAATAATTCTAATGCAATAATAAGTAACTTATGAGCTCCCGAGTAATAAATTTTAATGAATTATACTGCTAAATGAGCAGATGTCAAAAGAAGAGCGCCCAATGGGGGGTATTAGAAAAGGGTTACTGCTCTGCGCAATTGCGAAAAGCATTGAGCTTACTAATAAAATAGAGCTTAAAAAATATTCAGTAGAAAAAAATTATGTGTAATAAAAAAAACACGGAAAAGGGCTAACATATATTGCATACGAAAATTATGGAAAAAAGAGGCTCATTAAAAAAAAAAGGCCACCACCATCCAACCAGCTTCGGTATATAATACGAAATTTAAAGTGCTCACCTTTACGTTTCTCAGAGAACTTTTCACAGTTTCATGTTCATTAAAAAGTTCGCAAAGGCTCAGAAAATGGTTAGAAGTTTTATACACAATATTCATAGGAGTATTTTCCAACGAAAACTGAGCCTTGTCCACGCGCATGCAAAAGAGCACGTGATATAATGAAAGCCACGAGTGCACCAGCAACTTTTCATCCGCTCCTTTGTCGCGCTTCAAAACAGCCAGTAATATCTTTGTACGTGTGATAATAAACAAATTTTTTTGGGGCATCATTAAAAAAAAGTTTTTACCAAGTTTTTAATGAAAGTAAAACCATATAAAGAAGTAAAAGAAGTTTTTATGTATTTAATAATTGCGCTAAAAATTATTACAGTGCAGAACGGCACAGTGTTATTGTGAAACGAAAAGAGCAGAGCAAGTCAGGAGCGAGAAAAATGCAAAAAGCCACCCACCAATGATAATTATCACTGTTCAATGAGTTCAGTCTTTCTTATGAGAGTTTATTTACAATTTTTTTTAACAAAAAGAACTGAGAATCGCAAAATATTTAACGAATTACAAAAAAATTTAATTTTATATATATAATCACTAAAAAATATTCAAAGGCCATTAAATTCGTAAAATTAAAACGTGTGTTTATGTTTATTTCTAATTTTCTTAATTTATATATTTTTCTTTGTAATACTAACACCTATTCTTTATTTTTAATGCTTAGAAAAGTGGGAAAGCCAACAAGTTCCCTGTATCACAATTATTTAAGACTTTCTAACAAGTTTGCGGTGGCGGTATGGTTATAACTTGGTGCAGTTTGTTAAAATAAGCAGGCAACCTGCAACAAATTGGCAGCGAGCGTAATACGGTTAGCTTGATCGCTACAGAAAAGGTAAGAGCCATTTGATTGGCACTTTTGAACCACCAATCGTCTTAATGCCTCCGATTTAGAAATAAAAGAAGAGAAACTCAACGCTGCAGCTTTAGTTTTTTCGCTGCAGTTGGCTAGGTTATAGCACGCAATTAAAACTCATTATTCTTTGGTATTTAAAGAAACGAAAACCGAAATTTAATGAAACTCCTCCTTCCAACAAATCAATTAGCTCCGTGCATGCCCAACCAGACCAATCAAAAAGCTGCTCTCGAGTAAGATCGACTGAACAACATAATTCCTTTTCAAAGTCTGATAAGCACATTGGTCAAATTTTCTTCCGTACTTTTAATGAAAAGCGGTTTACCCAAATTCTGAAAAGAGCAAGAAATACTATTGATCATTGCCTCCAAGCATCCAATGGCGAGCCACTGATCTCCAACCTTCTGGGTGTCCTCAAAAAGTCCACGCAACTTTATTAAAATGCAAAGTAATATGAATTAATTATGATGAAAATAATAAATTAATAATTGCCTCTTCCCACTTTCGAAAGGTCAAATTTTCATAATTCCGAAGCGAAGAATCCAACAAGAGGGGCTTCAACAAATATACAGATTCATGAAAGAGCTCCTTTTCCCGCAAACTATAGAAATTCATTAATACTACCACATATATAAAAAAAGAAAAGCACAAACACTTTAGAAAGTTCGTTTATAAACAACTCCAAAACTTCATTAATTTTATAATTAACCCGTGATTCACTTATAAAATTGTGAAGATTGCAGTGGCCAATGTGGATATGCCAATCAGGACTTTCTTTAGAATTTTTGCATGCGTTTTCCCCAGAATCAAAGTGCTCCACATCTTCAAGACATTCAGTGAGACCAAAAAATATTAAAAATTCGTGTCGTATGGTATATAAATTTTTTTCTTTAAATTTTGTGTGCAGCCAGAAATCCCAATGCTCCTTCGTTGGGGTTACCAGAGCGCAAAAATCAGCAATGGTTAACTCATTCTTTGCATCTGATAATGTTGGCGCATAGAGAGTTCCATTCTATGTTACTATAAGTTTAATGAAAATTTTTTCTTTATTCATAATAAGAAAAACCTCCATGAGTTCCACGTGGAAGGTTGCGCCCTCAATGCTACAAGTAAGTATTGAGGGTCGCAAAAATAAAGAGCTAAGCATCGTCTTTATAACAAAGTCATTATTTTTTATGAGTTCCTTCACAAAATGTTTGGAGGCCACTCCAGTGTTTTCGCGCCAATAGCAACTGTTGATCACTCTAAAGTATTCTACGCAACTTTTTCAATATGAAAGTTACAAGGAAAAAAAAAAGTTAAAAAAAGCAATACCGCATATATATAAGAAGAGAAGTTTCATAATTGCTGTGAAGCTCATGTAATTGACCAAGAAACCAAAGAACTCTCACTAAAAAAAAAATAGTGTAGTACCGAATCACTTATGTTATAAGTGGATATAAAAAAAGTAAAAAGATATAGCAAATATTACTATGGAAAAATATATATATATATATATAGAAAGAAGGGAAGAAGTCACAGTAAAATAGTACTGGTAATAAAAAATTTATAATAAAACTGTAAGTAAAAATAGTGAACGTAAAAAAGCTAATTAAAAGTTAATAGACTAGAGAGAAAGAATACTCCCTTTTAGTAAAAAGAGAAACCGGCAAAATGATAAAAGTACTATAGAAAGGAGAAAAAAAGTATTTCTTAATATTTATTTTATATTATAAAAACTTTTAAATAGACTTAATATTATATGGAAATATTCATTATTATAAAATAATAATAAAAATATTCGTAAAAAACTATAAAGTTCGGGAGAATGCAAGCTGAGAAGGAGTTCATAATATTCAAAAGTTTTTTTGTGCGCTCGCAAAAAACTGTACACCGAAGAAGTAAACATTTCCTTTATCTTCGTATTTTCTTTTCGATCTAATAAAAATTTAAAAGCCAATAGAAAAACAGAATAAATGAAGTAAAAGGGTTGTTTAGTCAGATAAAAAAAGTTCAAGTTTACCGTTTAATAAAAAATATAATTATTAAAATTGAAGTTAAAAATATATAATATCATAAAAATTAAAGCAAAAATGAAAAAAGTAATGCACCAAATATAATGAAGTTATATTTAATTAATTATGAAAAATCGTGAGATAAAATATACTAATAATTAAAAAACCTGAACAAAACTTAAAACTTTTCGAATAAAGTTTTTCCAGTTCAATTTCGCAAAGGCATAGACAAAACTTTATATAAAAATATTATACTATTAATACTTTCTTTTATCGATAATAAAGAATTTTCTCCACCAATTATAACAGATATAAAACCTATATAATTATATTTATTGATTAAATAAATTAAACTTTTTCAGTTCAAGCCCACAAATGCATATTTAAAACTTTTTATGAAAATAATATACCAGTAATACTTGGAAAAATAAAATATTCTAATATTCACTAGAAATATCCATATATAGAAACTTAATATAAAAAATGTTGACCTTTTTTAGCCAATAAAAAAAAGAAAAGTAAAAATATCTAAAGAAGGTATTTTATTTTTTATTTGTGTAAAATAGTAAAAAACTTTTGCATTATAAAAATTTTAACATTCCAGTTATATAAGCATGCTGAAGAAGCTGCACTATTCTTTGGTTTGCTTATAATTTCCCAATTTTTTTTCTTTTAATAAATAAATAATGCTTCTTCGAACTGCTTTAAATTTTAGATTCTTATGAAAATATAACAATAACTGGAATAACACTATACAGTAAAAAGAATATAACTATATTTAATAAATATTTTTTATAACAAAGTTTGTTATAAAAAAAGACATAAAAGTTTGCTTATATGTTGAGTTCATTGAAAACTGGTATATTAGAGGAAGTAAAGTCGTATAATAAGAATAATTATAAAAAGTATATTACAGACAATAAAGTGATATATAATAGGAAACTTATTGATTATTATAAACCCAACTGCACCACAAATAAAGAAAAAGGGGGGAAATGCAGCACGTGCGAGATCCAGACTTATATAATCACATGTGCGCTCCCTTGAACACTACGCTCTTATTATGAACATATAAAAAAACTCCACTAAGGTTCAAAAAGTTTCTTCGCTTTATAATATATAAGAATAATTAAGTATGATAAAAAAAACGACCATCATAATAAAGTAGAACGTAAAAAGTTAATTAATATTTATAAATACACAAAAAATTTATAATACTATCATAGTTTTTAATGTATTTATAAATCAAAAAAATTAGAAGTCTATAGCTGTAAAAAAAAAATTTAATAGTTGAACGTAATAAGAAAATAAAAAATATGTAATGTAAAGTTTACGTTTAGCTCGAGAGTCTGCTCTTCGCTTAAAGTATAAGAAAGCTCACGCGATCCCGAACAAACCAATGAATGACGCTCCTAAATTTAGTAAAATAAATTTAATTTAAAAAGAAAAGCCCTCATACACTAGCCTGTAAACACGTGTGCATGCTGAACAGCTTATGTATTAGCGGTCTCGAGTTCGTGTCTTTTTTGTAAAAGTCTAAAAGTATAAATATAATAAATTATTAATAAACTTCTTTATCAAAAAATTTAAAGAAATTAATAATATTTAAGAAAATATACTAGTTTATTGTTTTTTGAAAAAATAAAATAAAATTTATAAACCAATCATTTTCCAGTTTTTCGACAATAGTTGTGCAAAATTACGAATGAACCCAATCAAATCACCGCTTTTCAGTAAAAATTGTGAGGCAAGAAGTTTTTCTTCCTTCATATAGCCACCATTTCTTAGATGGCTGTCTACTTTTTCTTTAAAAAAGCGGTATCCAGGCTGGCGGGTATAATTCTTAATTATTCATAGAAATAAGTAGTATATTTTTAGGACGACTAAAATTTATATGAATTTTTTCAGTAAAAATAATGAAAAAACTCAAAACACACATGAGCACGCCGTTGACTGTTCCACTCTAATAAGAACACAAAAGTCGGAAGCGATAGAAACTCATAAAAATTAAGCTCTTCTCCTTTACTGGTTAAAATATATCAACTTTTGGCTTAATGAAAAGAGAATATATATAAAAACTTCTCTAAAAAGGAATGTGAAGGTTTTTTACCGCGCGCAGATCTTCGAGAGCTACCAGAGTTGGACTAAAAAAAAATAAATAATTAGAATATTCATAAAAAAGTAACAATAAAAAACAATAAAAAAAAACATTTAATTTATGGCAGGGAGTCTTCATTATAGTTTTTAAAGGTTCTCCATTGGTCCTTTCAAAACTCTATGAAAAAAGATTTCCACTGGTTCAGTTTAACTCTTAGGAAAAAGTTTACTTCATTCATCAATGTTTCGGTAGAGATTTTGTCCGAAATCACTGGAAGCTGCTCGGTTTCTAAAGTTTCTTTGCCAGACGAAGTGAACTTCACAATTTTCCAAGTCTCTTCGCTGAAAAACAATGATATTCATAATATCGGTAAAGTTTCTTGTTCGAAAATTTTGATAACGTAGTATAAATGTAAAATATAAAAAAGGATCAGGCGTAGCAACTTTTATTTTGTTTTTTCTTATAAAAACATTATCATGTTGCTATTAGCAGTACTGCCGGAAAAAAATACTTTTCTTTCCATAATCACAAAAAATTAAGTACAAAGTTTTATATTTGTCGTAAGCTTGTAGTAAACATTCCGCCATTTCGGTCCACGTGAATTCACTGAGTTGAATCTCAAACTCTTCGTTTACTAGAAGAAAAAAATAACACATTATTTAAATTGAAAAGCCCCAGAATTTTAAAAGTTTACATATAGAAGAGAAGAGCATTTATATTTATGAAAGTTTCCAACTTCTAAAAAAAAAGCTTTTTTTGGCTACTATTTAGTAAAATAGTGTTACGCTTAACAGTTGGTCTAAAAGTACCAAGCGCGTGCTTATGCAGAATAGCATTCTTTATAAAAACTTGTTATGAATAAAAATTTTGATTATTAGAAGTTTCTTTAAATAGAAGCGCTTACAATATTATTAACTTATAAAAACCCCAAACTTTTCTTTGTCATTATAAACCGCCGCACAATACTTCTTCAGAGTTAAACTAGAAAAAAGCAAGCAGATAAAAAAAAGGAAATGAATTTTTATCTTTAACTTCGCTCGATATCTTTCATTTACCTTTTAACCAATTATGTAATGGTACATAGCCCGATTATTATAATCATAACCATCATTTTTAATAATGGTAATAGTAAAGTATATTTAAATATATTTATTGCATTTATATAGAGAAATTTTTTTTTTGTGCGGCCATATATATGATAAGACTCATTGTAATAAGAAATTGCAACTTTTTTAATGAAGTAATCGCCGCTGAGAGACCCACGTGATTTTTTTTTTAAACTAGCGGAACTGTTAATAAGTTACGAAGAGGACAGTTACACGTTACATATTGGTCAGCGTTGGAATTGCACGTGTTTTTGTCAGTAATATAATAACAGTCTGTTGAAATGTTTTGCTATTTCCAAGTTTTTACCACTAAGACAACTTTAAAAGTTTTAAAAACTTAACGACTCCACCTGCACTATATAAAAAGTAAATATGCTATTAAAATAAGGCAAACTTTGCTCGATAATGTGATAGCGTTTTGCTCTAAACTCTTCATGTTCTTCAATAAACGGAACTGATCGGTAAATTCTGCTGTAACGAAATTTATAATTTTTTAATTAAAAAAGATAAAAGTCAGCTTTCCTCGGAGAATTTAAATATTCCAAAATTTTTAGACCAAACGGGTAAGCAGGGTTAACCGCAAAGGCTAATTCCAAGACTCGACTGAGAGAAGTGAAATCGGAAATAGCAAATAAAATCTATTAGTATTAGAGTATAAAAAATGGAGTTTGATTTTGAAAAGATGACTTAAGTAATAAATAAATAAATAAATCTATAAATGCAATAAATATTTTCAAGTAGCAAATAATAAAATTAGCAAACTAAAAGTTGGTTAATTAATTTATTAACTGTAATATTATTATTGAGAGTAAAAGTCGTTATCAACTTATATTAAAAAATATATAATATAGTATAATTATTGTTAATTATCTCAGTAGGTTTAAGTTTACTTTTGAATAGCGGTCAAGACAAGGCCAATAAGTTGGAGCAACAGATAAGGCTGATTCGGAAGCTTGTCTAAATTATTTATTTTATTTATTTATTAAGCTTTCTTAAAATTAAATAGAGTATTTAAAACAAGTTAATAATATAAAAATACAGAATTAAAAAATATCTTTTTATTAAATTTTTGAAAAAAAATCAGGAATAGAATTTTAATTAAAATTATCACAATAAGGAATATTAAATACATTAGTAACGTAATTTAAAGGTTTTAAAAGGAAAAATTATGATATTCTTTAACCTTGCTAGAGGCATGTTCTTTAATTCTAGAGCATGTTTTGCAATACGATCCCATAACACCACATCGGCTCGATCAAGTGAGACGGCCTGCAATTTTAAGCAAACATGAGTGACCTTCATATGTTATATTAACTGATGTAAAGCAGCGCACCTCAATACAATATATAATTGATTTCTGCAAATTGTTCCTTGCCTTGTAACAATCGCTAAGATTTGAATAAACAAGCTTTTTAAGCTAAAGCGTAATATTAGTACAAACAATACTTTTAACTGTGCGTCATAAGAAATAAATAAAAATAAATACCCTAGAAGAGGCATGTAGCTCCGATAAAAGTATTTTTTTATAATATTTTATAGCCGCTTTGTATTGACCTTCCAGTTGAAGAGATAAGGCTTTTTCATATACAGCAGAAAGCTGCTTTTTCAACTAAAAAACACTATTAAAACTAAACTAGAATAGAAAAACAATTTCTAAATAAAATTTAGATGACACTGAAGAAATCAGTAATTAATAAGTATAACTTACTTCTTGACTTTCAACAACTTTTTCTTTTGAAACAATACCGTTTTTGCCAGCCTCGACCTTTTTACCAGATTTTTTAAAAGCTTTAAACGATAGCTGATGTATGTTATCTTAATAAGAACACAACATAAAGGAAGTGAAAACAATTAATATAGTAATATAAAAACATTAAAAAATTTAACGCTTATGATAAGCATTCAACACACCATCAGGACATCGGTACAACGATAGTGCAAAAGAATAGTGCGGTTGTCTACCGTTATCCAGTTAGTGTGTCTGTAGAAAATGTAGTAAAAGAACTATTTGCACAGTGAAGAAGTGCTTGATAAAATAAGATATATTTTCTGAGTAACTCGCCATCCTTATTATAAATACAATTTTTTCTAACAAAAAACAAGTAGCGTTTTTTAACAATAATTCAAAAATTATATATAAAGGTTAACAACAATATATTTATAATAGTGGTTTATTTTAAAACCATTTTTATAATTATTTTCTTTAATTTAAAGCTGACTAATAAATATTATATTTACTGGTCTCGTATTTTGTACTTGCAACTATTTACTAAGTTTATTTGTGGTTTCCTTATGAAAAAAGTCCTTTTATTAAAATTAAAAATATAATTGGCAATGTGGACGGGTCATGAGAGTTTATAGTGTTCACAATTACGTCTATTTTTAGCTGAATAATTACAAATATAAATGAATGACTTTCTTCGATAATGCTCACATCTTAAATATTTATATATAATACCGGCAAAGTGATTTTAATCATTAACTGCTTATTCTAAATTCCTTCTACTAAGAGAGAATGCGGTCAACACTTCCTTAACAATTCATTGCGTCATCAACGAAAACGGATGCGTTATATCTTCACCGCTTAATAGTATGCACGCTTTTTGGAATGGAACCTGTCTAATATGGGTATGGGTGTTATCCTCCTCAAAAGTGGAATTTTAACTAGTTGATGAAGCCGAAACTTTTAAAGCGCACATTCCAGCCCTACTCTACCGCACAATCTCTTGTGAAAGTCGTCTCCAATAATATTCTATACCTTAAAGACAAATGAGCTACATCATTTTTATAAAACACAGTAGAAAAGAGTTACTTGCCCGACACAACAAGTGCAGGAAAGTAATGTGCAAGAAGTGTCTGAAGTGGTGAATATCAAACTTCCCCAAACGTACTGAAAATCGTTGCTGCACGCCAGCGCCATCCCTGCATAAAGTCATAGTTGTACTGAAAGGTGCATTTCATACCGACCACCCTCCCTATTTAGTGCAAACCGCAGGAACTGGCAACAGCTGAAGGCAGATTCAAAGTTGTATAAGTAATTTATCCACCGGAAAAGTCGGTTGATTGACTTCGTAGGTCAGTGGTAGAGTATATCACGCAATGTCTAGGCTGTGATTCTGTTCTCATTGGTGCTAACTCCCATCCCCCAGGTTTACTTAATGTGTACACTTCCTCTATAAATAAATTCTAATAATAAACGATTAAGCATCACCAAATTATAAACCTTACTTGGTCGATCAGGTTAAGCGCGGCAAGTAGACTGTTTTACTTTTATGTGCGCCACCATATCGTGTTTTTCTATGGAACCAATTTATATTATATTTCGTTGATTATTATATAAGGAAGGTTCTAAGAACCCAAATTATGTTTCGAGAGGGCTACTTGCATTTGTAAAGTGTTGTGTGCTTTAAAGCATTGCTTAACCCCTTATAGGTTACTGCTTACTAAGTTTACTTCTTGTCGCCTAGGTTAATTTAGCGATTTCACGGAAAAAACAGATCTATTTCAAGTCCCAGAGTTTTACCCGATAAAGAGTTAAACCAACGACACAAGGCACCAATAAGCTGCTAAAACAGATACAGCCTGGGTTCTGGTTTCTTTATAGAGCGTTAAAAACGGTTACTGTACCCACACAGCTCCTTTTCGCGTGCCCACTTGCTCACAGCAGTAAACAACGCAGTGAGCGCGTGCTTCACAGACTGAAGGTTTTCGTTGGAAAAGGCGAAAGAGTTCCAAAATTGTAACTAAAATTTAGGTCAGACTATTCCATGGCCCAGCGGCTTTCTGCGTCTCGTTAAGAGAAACAGTTCGTGTATTTTTCTTTAAAGACTTTTTTTTATAAATAAATTTAAAAAAAGAATAGCTATACAGAAAAACCATTATAGAGAAAAAAAACTTTAAAATAAATAAGCAGATAAAGAACCAAAAAACTTAGGGTGCTTGTAGTGATACATTAGAACTTTTTTTAAATATATAGAAGCGACACACTAATTAAAATTTAGCCGCAGGTGTCCTCACAGATCTGGAAACTATTTTGTTTTCTAAATTTTCAAATTAGATAGTCTAGTGTGACCTGTATCCGAATATCTTAATAAATAACAAGTATTCAAAAATTTACGATATTTTTTATTTAATACAAGAGTAAAAAATTAAAAACTCAAGTGGTCTGAGAGACCTACTGCGACTACTGTAGGGTTAATAACGTCTGTAAAGCAAATTAGATCCAATTAAATTTATGACTGTGTTTACTGTTTATTATTTAAAACGATTTCTTATAAACTAATAAGCAAAACATAAAAGGCAAAAGATTTAATATAAACAAATTCTATATATACATCTATATACCTATTAAACAAACCAGAAAGCGCTTATTTTTTTATTCTTTACGTCCCACGAGGGTCATTTTCAGACCTAACATATTAAATTGCACGTTATACAAAAGAACGATTTTATATGGTGTTTAAGCTTAGGTTAAAGGAGGCCAAACAAAACGGTTCAAGACTTTTATCCTCACAATTTAATATCTACAATTAGCTTGCACGCTTAAAATTTAGCACCTTCTTGTAAATAGTAAAACTGAGATCTTTTAAATGGGTTAGAGGTGTTGTAAAAGTGTAGCTCTGCTTTTTTTTTCTAATTGAAAAGTGATCGAGATTAAAACGAGTGAAGAGCGCATTCAAGCATTCTCTAGCAGGGTGAACACGAGATGCCAATAATTTATGTTGCTTAGGGGCTACATCCCTTATAATCGGTGTATATCCGGTAATGTTTATCTGACTTAAACATTACTAACGATAAATACAAAAAAGTAAAAGTTGGCTTGAAAAAGGTTAAGCATGAAACAAGAGATACTAACTTTATGTCAGCTATCAAAGTTTAATGAACAAATCAAAGTATTGGTGCTAGTCAGGTCTCCCATTGATCCCTTCTATAGCAGGGGACCTCTTTCCGTTTTTTTATTATAGATTTATTTATAAAGGACTTTTTCTGTTACTCGGTAAGTCGGCAACCTCTAAAACTCGAGCTCTCAATCAGGATAATATCGCAGAAAAACTGCGACTGCTAAACGAAAATTAGCGCTCAAAGGGGTCACTTGAAAGGCGAATATGCGCCGCATCTCATGGCTTTTAAATAAACTCGCTTGCCAGCGGATGATCAGTATGTCTAACTACGCCTGTTATAAAGGGCAATGGCTTGGCGTTGGAAGAGCGCCTTCTATAAGTCTAGCTGGAGGCCCCGGAAAAGAGCTTCAACTCGCACCAACGTTTCTTCGCCTTTGGAGTGCCAACACTATTGACGTGGAGCCATAGGCTCAAGCAGCAGACGGGTAAGTCATTATTAGTTAAATGTAACGTAAAATCGTCATTGCTGCGCAGCGAAAGCTTACTCTTACTACAAAGTAAAGGGTAAACCTTCTTAGTTTTCTGTTTTTGCTTACATCTGCACATATTTTACAAACAATCCCAGCCCAGCGGGGGCGCTGCCCCATTGAATTTTTAAAACTTTTAATTACATAAGGTCATGAAGAGATCCATACGAGATAATTAAAAGAGAGAGGAAAAAAAATAAAAATTGTATGTTGTTTTTATTCAGGTTAAAATTGTTTTAACAGTTTTTTTATCTTTCCAAATTGTCCTTGAGGGATTAAAGGTTTACAACATTGGGGACATATAGTAACTTTTTAGAATGTTAAATTCCTATATATATCTAATTTTAATCGCGTATCATGTCATTAACACAAATTTTAATAATACACGAAAAATAGGGGGGAAAAAAACGATATATTTATACTTGTTATAATACAAATTTGATATTAAAACACAGTAGAACAAATACAAACGTTAAAAAAAAACCATAATATGAGAAAAGGAATTACTACAATGATCCTACTTCCTTTAATATTACCCATAATTTTCTAAAGAGTGATGAAAAAATAGACCAAAATTACTAACCTAATATCACAGCTTTTTACCAAAGGTAAAGGAAGAAAAATTAATTTTTGGAACTTTTCTACCAAAGAAATATATAATAATTTCAATCTCTTTTTTTAACTTTTGATTAAAAGCACAAGCTGAGACATTATAGAAACGCAAATAATTAATGGTCCTTAAGCTAATCATAACAAGTTATTTGCAAATAAAGTATGTCTTCATGGCAAAACCTTTTTTGGGGCGTAGCGGAAAGTGACGAAGAAATAGAGGAGCAACCATCTTTTTTTTCCGCGGGGAAAAAATATTGATATCATCGAGAGTAAAAGAGCAATTAAGTATGCTTCAAAGAACAATTTGCGATGACACGCATGTAGTTTCACGTGGTAGATGAAGCAGATTAACCGATTGGCTTGTACCTGGATGCTTCTGTAGAGCGTATCTTTATAGAGGGTTCTAGGATAGTATTGGGTACTAGCACTATATTTTCCGGCCGCTCTCCACAGATACGAGGTATATGACAAAACTTTTTAGAGTTAACCAATTAAAGCAATTCAGTGGATCTGTTTTTTCTACACTTATATAACAATTTACAGCTCGATACCTGGTAAAGAAGCGATATAAAATTTTTTAATTAAAAAGTACAGTAGTTAAAACTTTTTTCTGATTGTTATAGAAATAATTTTTACAAACCTTTAGTAAGGTTAAATGCAGATTAATATTAATTAATAAACTAAAAAAAAAAATGGTTTTAATTATTAAACCATGGTTTAAAACGAACGGCTATATTAAATATAAGACCTAAACAAATTCAGCAGTTTATCTTCACTTTTTTATTATTTAAAGGCGTTCAAGAACGTCGAAAATAAAAAGAACAGATGATATGAAGAAATACTTGAAAAGAAAAACATTAGTAAAAAGTTTATATAAGGTATCCTGGAAGATGAATGAAAGGTAAGTCACTATAAAACAAAGAGGTATTAATCGAGGAGTATACCAATTAGGTA